CGGTTTGGCGGTGGAGGACTGGCTGTGACGGTGAGCCAGGCGGAGTCATGCGTCGTAGAGAGGCGAGCGAGAGGTGATTCAGGCGCAGAAGGCAGACGCGCAATGGTCCCTGGCTCCTTGGACGTGAGGGCTGAAAAGGGCGGACCTGGCGGTGGCTATGAGGACGCGAATCGGTGGAGGACGCGACAGTGAGTAGTCTGTTCTACGGCGATTGCACCGTGAAAATGAAAGTTAGAGAGAGTGAGAGGCTCAGGGGAGTGGAGATGTGAGAAGAAGAAAAAATTAGGGCTAATATCTTGAACTGATTTGATTTTAAGTTGGGTCCCTTGTTGAGACTTTTTGGACGTTGCAAAAGAGTAGAGTTTTTGCAACGTTCAATGAACGTTGCGAAAAGCAACCTTTCGTTCGCAATGTTCATTGAATGTTGCTAAAAGTGACCTTTCTCAACGTTTGGTGAACGTTGCCAAAGGTCACCTTTAGCAACGTTGCGAAAAGTGACACTTTTCACAACAGTCGGCGAACGTTACGAAATGTCATTTTTTGCAACGTTTATTTGAAAAATGTTGCAAAATCTCACTTTTCGCAACATTCACTGACACGAACATTGCAATTGACCCTTTTAACAACATTTTTTCAATGAATGTTGTCGTTCAAATGTTGCAAAAACCCTTTTTGTTGTAGTGCGTATTGACTACATCAAGCTCGATCTAGTCACATGCACAAGCTCAACTCGACATGGAAATGCTCAACTTGACAAGCAAATCCTGCTGGAAAATTATATAGAGCACTTTTGACTATCAAAACCTTTTTCTTAAATAGTCTCTCGACCACCTTATTTTCATGAAACAACCTAAAGGCCAAAAATAAGTTTTTCTTTTAGTGATTGTTAAAAGTGAGATTTCTTATAACCACATTAAAAATTCAATTATTCAACAATCCATATGTGAATCTTGGCAAGGAACCACAGCATAAAAATATGATTTATTTATGAACTACTTTATCCGAATATTTCTTCGAGAATACAATTTTTCAAAAACTCATTTTTCTCAAGAATACGTTTGAGCCCCATTTTTTCAAGAATACATTTTTTTCAAAACTCATTTTTAACCACACATTTTTTCATAAAATAATTATACGTATTTCAAATATTTTCCTTACTTTTTAACCATACATTATTCCATAATATATTTTACCCATAATATATTTTAATAGGTAAATTTTCTTGTAGTTAAACCTACAAATTACTTCTCAAAAAAAAAAAAAAAAATCGAGATGAAAATCTGTAGCCCATGGGGTTTGAATTTCCGTAAGTTAATGCGATGATGTATTCACACACACACACTAACCTTCTTATTTCACCCTTTTCTACAATCTGAATACATACATATATAAAGAGAGATCATATCTATAGGTGAAGAGGTGTATCGACATCAGTATTTATTTCAAAACTGCAAGGAACCCTCAAATCTGCACCAGAACGCAACTGCGTATCGAGGGCTTGAATATCTGCTGTATTCTCGCCATACAAGTTGAGTCCAAGCGCCAATGGATCTTGAAAATCATGCTTTGGTGACGAAAATCTCATTTTGTTCTGAATAGGGTCAACGAACAGCTTAAGAAGGTCTCTCTCTTCTCTCTTCTCCTTTAATCTCTGCAATTGTCGAAATCTTTCTTGCAGAAGTACGATGGAAGAACCAACAACTTTCGGATCATTATTTTGTCGTCCCATGAATCAAATTATATATGTTTCAGGTTCTAGAGGCGTTTCTATATACATATATAAAGAAAGAAGGTAGAGAAGAATCTGCTACTGTGAGAAAAACCCAAGAAGAAATGGTTAGAAGGGTAATGGTGAGGGTGGCTGATTTGAATGTGAGAAGGTGAAAGGACTTTTTAGGAGAGGAAAATGTCGAACAAAAAAGGACAAGTGAAAATGGAGATAATGAATGGAATGATGTGTGTAGAGGAATATAAGGAGTAGCTGATGTTGGCGTCGGCTGACTTTAGCAGTCGTTAGCTTCGTAGATGGTTCCATTTTGTTGGGTAATGGAGATTTCGTTTTTACGCATGTTTGGATCAATCATAAAAAGCATATTTGGTATGCGATATAAACAAGATCAGACAAGGAAAAAAAGGTCAAAATTTTCATACATTGTAGCGTTCATTCCTATCATACCTGGTTTTAGTAAAATTGAAGATTACGTACGACACGACCCCGTCTCGAGTCACCCTAGTGGACCCACACGTGACGTGCGCGAATGATGAGTTCCAACTAGATGATGGACCTACCACCAAGGCCACATAGACTGTTCTACGACTGTTTGACTATTTAG